CTCTTCTCTGTTAATTCTCTGTATGTTTCTTTTCTTGAGTAGGGGGGTATTAGGCTTAATTATTTTGTAGTGGAGGTACTGGGGATTGAACCCAGGACCTCGTGCATGCTAAGCACATGCTCTACCACTGAGCTATACCCTGTCCGGCTCTGTTTTTATTAATTCTTGCAGTAATTGCTTTACAATTATTTATTTACAAATCTCTCCTCCAAGATGTGATTTCCACATCTTTGTCCTCTTTATAACCAGCCCCGAAGACCAGTGCCTATCACGCAAAACATATTCTGTAAATGTTCACGGACTTGAATACTGACGTAAAGAAAATCTAGATGAGGAATTACTGAAAAGCATTATGGCAGTAAAATCATTAGTACAGTATACAGCTCCTACTGATGACGGGGCAGGGAGAGAAACCACCACCCCAAAACAATTCAGAACACGAAACGTATCAGAGAACTGAAAGTTTTCAGAGCTCTACCTAATTTTTCTATAGAAGTACCTGGTCTTATCATGGCATTTTATACGCTCCAGAACTGGCCCATTCCATAAAGGCAGGAGTCTCTGCACGGGCTGCTTACAAAGCCACACTGAAAGCATGACATTTACTGGGATAGCGGGGATGTGCATTCAGGAAGGTAAAGTGTTCATATAATTCCAGGTAAATCTGACAACTTCTTAAAATGAACTGGTTTTGAAGAAAGTTGCTCTACAGCTGTTACACATACAGCTGCCTTAGCCGTCTGCTAACCACGACTGAAACCCTAATGACTGAGACATTGTGGACTCATCGTAGCTTGTTTTAAAAACTCTTGAGAGACAATATTATACGTTCTATTTGTTCTCTCCCCCTCCTGAGTAGATTTTCTACTGTCATCCAGATTGTATCCCAATCCCCCGCTTTCTAATTTCTGCCAGTATTTTTGCTTTGTTTCCCCTGCCTCCTCCCACATTTCACTCCATTTCTATCCCTCCTTGCCTTTGCTGTTATGGGCGCTCACTTTTCATCACCCTCAATAGCCAGGGAGGCGGTCTTTTCCTTCTGCCTTCACAAAATGATCAGTCACATCCTGTACTCAGTAACCTCCATTGTCTCTTGATCCTGCCCAACTAGTTTTGTCACTGATGACTTCTACACTTCAATTTTTCTACATTTTGGTTGTTTCAGACAACTGGAGGTGCCAGCGGTTGAAGAGGTGGGCCAGTGCTAATAAGTCGAAGTAATACTTCTTACACACACACTCACTTTTCTGTTTTCACTTAGGTTTCAAAATACAGTACAGAAATTTCTATCAATGGCCCAGGTCTTTAAAAGATTCTGGAAAAGAGATTTTGCAGACCAAGAAATGAAGTAAGATAAGGGTTTCAGTGGAAACTATTCTAGACCACTTAGCACGAATGCATATAATATGAAGAAACTACATTCTTTCCAGGCAATAAGGATTTTTGTCTAAAAGGAAGGCAATAAATATGTTACCAACTTAGAAAAGCTGAGATTTTCCTTCCTTTTAAATGTTTTCACTTCATCTGCTATATCACTATAATTTTTGGAAAGCATTTAATAAAAATAAAACCTTTAAGTTATTAAGTCAACTATTTCTACTGTGTAATACAAAAAGTTTTAAGAACATATATTCTTGTATGCCTCAAATTATATTTTTCACTCTTACTTATATCAAAATAAGGTAATAAACTCTGAAAAACATCCAAATTCTTTTTGAGCAGAATTTGACTAAAAGAACCCACTGTTAAAAAACAGGGTAAACTGATGAAACAGAGCTAAAAACGTACTTTAAGCCCAGGCTCTGAATCTTTTTGCATATTTTAACATTAGGTGTATTTATGGGAGTTGGGTCTGTTTCCTGGTTTGGAAATGTATTTGAGGTAGGGTGAAATGAAGGCAGGTAAAGATAATTGTGACTGATGAAAGGAAAACAAAATTTCAACGCAGCCAACTCAGCTCATTTCTCCTGTCTCATAATGCATACCATCAGGTTCCTTAATTACAGAAAGATGGCTGGTCTGGGATCAGAGCAAACATCTGATGTAGAAAATTCAGTGTAACACAATTCCTTTTGATCATCCAAGAGGGCATGGAAATGATTTTTGTTACAGGAAACATAATGTTTTTGTAATGGGATTTTACCTATAAAGATATTTACTAAACACTGCGTATGTGTCAGGTAACTGTAAGAATTTTACATGGATTGACATTTAATCCTCCCCACAACCCTATGAGTTAGATATGATTATCATTATCCCTGTTTAATAGATGGGAACTGACCCTGAGTGATTCACTCAGGCCCACTTAGGTTCTACAACAGGGATTCAAATGCCAGACACCAGTGAGCACTTTTAATTTCCATGCTATACTGTCTCCCCACCTACACAGAAAGAGGACTATGGCCCGATCAGGTAAGACCCCATCTTCTGTCAGATTTTCTCTCCTGCGGGCCTTTTAAAACACATCCTGAAAGTATCTGGTCATCATTAGAAGACCCAGTATCTCCAAAGAGTGGTTTTGACTTATATATTAGAATTTCTTTCCTATTACAGTTATACTTGTAATTTTACTATGACTAAAAATGAACATATATATATATATATATATATATATATAAACATTTGAAACATGTGAAAAAGAGTAAGACAAAAATTCATATTTTAAAAGAACATACCAATGGTTTGGGGTTCCACTGAGAGTATCTTCAAAACAAATAAATTTTCATTTAACAACACTAAAGAATGAGGTATATAAATGTTTTAATCACAGACTTTTACTGTATGCAATTAACTGTATTTCACAACTTGCATCTTACAAAAAAGACAGTACCATTGTGCCTTAAAAAGTACTGCAGTTAAACAGAAAATTACATTACCACGTGAAACCACCAAATATCACAACTGTCAGGGTCTACAGTTTTCTTTCTCTCTTCAAATGCTATCATGATGTTTTTATGTGATATTTTGCATTCAAGTTACGATTTAAAGTTCATTTATAGCTCAGCAGTCTCCCATAGGTGATATATATTAAGCAAATGGCTAAGAGAAAGCAGGAGACCCCAGGAGAATTTAAGAAGTACTGTGTGGTTTCTAACTTGGATTTTTAAATACAACATAAAACACTTTTACTAGTTGTAAACAAAAATGCAAGATCTGTAGTCATAAAAATATTTTATTGGTAATTTTACATAATAGTAAGTGGGGGCTGTAAATACTTTTAAAATTTCAGAATATTGATAAATGCATAAACTGGCTAATTGTTTCTGAAAATAGGGCACTATGATTTTCATAAGAATTGTTATATTTAATAAGAGGCCAATTAAACTGATTTAGGATTAGTTATTTCCCAGTTCTGTGCAATAGTTCCCACTTCTGTATTAATTAGATACGTGTTTCTATGACCCTGGATAAGTCTGGGACAAGGAAATAGCAATAAAACTATTAAGTTAAAGCTTTTCCAAAGTTGCAGCTTTTAAAATGCGGCAGGTTTCTTTTCTCTTCTGTTTTTGCCAAATACTTATAATTACTTGAATTTTAATGTTCTCTATAATACAGAAAATACCAGTGTTCAATGACAATAGCACTAAACTTGAATTAGAAAACTAAATAATCAGTTTTATTGTTTACTAGTTCACTAGTAAACATTACAATAAATGAATATTTTGAAAGATAGGCAAAAAAAAAAAAACCCTGAAAAAAGAGATAAAACCAAAAACGTAATTCAAGAACAATAATTTAGTAAAACATGTCAAAAGCATTGGCAACGGTTTATACAAATTCTTTATTTAATAACAATTTTCCTATTTGACCACACCAAGTACCAGCAGGTGTATTTAAGAGGACGACCATCAAGAAAATCCTGTTGCAGCCGTAGTTGATCAGGCTGATCTCTGACTTGTATACATATAGCTATTTGTTTCACAACTCTCAAATAATACATATTTAGGCAGCTTGCACTATGTTATAAAAATTTAAATTCGTTACATGCCAATAGTAGAGATTTCAAGAATTATGTGTTAGAATTCACTAAACTAAAAGTGAAAATAGACTTACCAATAACACTGCATAATGAATAATTCAACCACATTTTCATGGCACCTTTAACGGTGGAGACCAAAATGTTAAGTCCGGAAACGTTTGGTAGGCATAGATTGCAATAAAATCTAACAAATTCTAACAAATTTCTATGTAAAACGCAAATTATGGATTGTGCACGAGTATGTTTGTCATGAAAATGTGGTACTTCTTGGCATAATCTGTGTATTTGCATGGTATGACAAGTGACTAAGAAACTGGAGAAAATAAACTTTAATGAGATTCTCCATTCAGTGATGAGGCTTCTCCTCTGGGGGAAGATGACCTGGACATGCCCCGCTCTGTGTTGTCAGAGCTGGAGCCACTCTGACTGTGCTGGTCTGCAGAAGCAGCACTACATGCAGGCGGTGACTTGGTTTTCTCCTTAAAGTCTGTAATAATGACTGTCAGGTCTCCAACGGTAACTTCCAAGTGTTGAGCACTACTCCGATCCACATTTTTCAATCTTGGCCTAAACACAGAAGACGATAAAAATTTAAGCTAGCTTTTCTTTCTACCCACTTTCTGAACATCAGATGCATAATGAATTAGGTAAAAATGGCAAAATGAAGGCATCTGTCTTCAAAGCTCTCTATTCATGTGTAACTAGCCACAAAAATGATTAAATGTTTGAAATCATCAACATTAATCAAACCAGTCATTCATGCATCTTTCTCACCATGACAAAAAAACCTCTGAGAGTAATGATCTCCTACTTGTGCTTTTGTAGCTTTATCATAATTTTGTAGACAGCTTACCAATTGTATTAAAACAAATGCTTCAAAACAGCACTGACATAGCTGCACACAGAAGCAGCTGGTAACAGCTAAGGCTGAGTTATATGCAGGGCTGTGACTCCACTGATATGCACTTATGATAAGGGCATCATGACTGTCTGTTCTGCCCGGAACCAGGACCATTTTGATAGGTTAAAAAAAGCTCATGCAAATACCTGTTCAGTATTGTGAAAATCACTCCGAGCTTTTCACTCTGAGTTAAAAAGAAATAGTTCAAACACAAATGTCTTTTAATCTAGTT